TTGGGGGGAACTGAGGGCGGGGCTGCGCTGTCGGAGGGCGACTTTGGGCCCCTGAACTTAATGCCCCCTCCGTAGGGACCACCCTGCCGTCATCAAGCGGCGCTTCACCAGTGTCCTAGTGGTGTCCAGTCTCTCGCCCCTCTGCGTGCTACTCTGGAGGGAACTCACAGGCATCCAGGTGCAAAGGAGGCGGGGCAGAGGGCAACAGGGGAGAGATCGCAGGGGTCTTTGGGGGAGGGAGCAAGACTGATGCTTCCTTTCCTGTGGCTCAGCCAGGCACATCCCTGCTCACGCTGATGGGCTTCAGGCTGGAGGGCATTTTCCCAGCAGCACTGCTGCCCCTGCTGCTGACCATGGTGAGTCCTCCATTACCTTTCCTCCTCTGTTCTTTGTATTAGCATGACGCTCCTTTCTGTGACCTTTTTTACTTATCCTGCTTGTGTCCAGTATGTGCCTGATGGGAGACAGGAATTGTGAGATGGCTCGAGGCCCTCGGGTATGCATTGGTGGGGAAATCCCGGCTGAGAATAGGAAACTTGAGGCCTTTTCTGGGCAAAAGCCGTGGATTATAGTTGAAGCCTTTCATTTGATTGCTCCTGTTTTTGTGTCTCCAGATCCTTTTTCTGGGCCCACTGATGCAGCTCTCAATGGATTGCCCCCGTGACCTGGCAGATGGGTTAAAGGTTGTCTTAGGTGAGTCCTCAGGGCTGAGGGAAAAAGCAGGCAGGCAGTCCAGGACAGGGGGAATCATGATGGGACCTGAACATGAGATGTGAGATGTTTTTTATTTCCTCACCAGTAAGATGGGAACATATAGCAGGTGTCCTTTAAGCGTTGGTTCCTGATGTTTAGGGATCCTCCTAGGGACCCCTAAAAGTGTATTTGGTGTTGACTAGAGAGCATTTTTATTTCCCTTAACCTTCGGCTTCTCTAAGCAGAGTTAGTTAGTCTTGGCAGATTTTGATGTTTCCAGATATCCTACCTCAGCTACTAATGGCCTTCCCATTGTCTTCTTGAGACATTGTCTTATGCTGATAAACAAAGCTGGACCCTTATATGTTCTGAGTATGCATGCCTAACCTGAGTTTGGCCAGGAAAAGATTGTGGGAGGCCTCTAGGGCAGTGGTTCTCAACCTTCTGGCCCTTTAAATACAGTTCCTCATGTTGTGACCCAACCATAAAATTATTTTCGTTGCTACTTCATAACTGTAGTGTTGGTACTGTTATGAATCATGTAAATACCTGATATGCAGGATGGTCTTAGGCGACCCCTGTGAAAGGGTCGTTCGACCGCCAAAGGGGTCTCGACCCACAGGTTGAGAACCGCTGCTCTAGGGTCTCTCTTCAATAGCTAGCCACTCATTGCTTGTCTTGAATCCCCTCCCTAGCCCCTCGCTCCTGGGCCCGCTGCCTCATGGATATGCGTTGGCTTCGGAACCAAGTGATTGCGCCCCTTACAGAGGAGCTAGTGTTTCGGGCCTGCATGCTGCCCATGTTAGCACCGTGTACGGGCCTGGGCCCTGCCGTGTTCACCTGCCCACTGTTCTTTGGAGTTGGTGAGTGTGCAACCTGGTCCTCTGAGATGTTCCTAGCATGAGAGCTGAGAATGGGGCTTGGGGCAACGGTAGGGCATAGAGAGGGCAGGCTGAGAGCAATGTGATGTGGTTCTCGCCTTCTTCCTAGCCCATTTTCACCACATTTTTGAGCAGCTTCGATTCCGTCAGAGCAGTGTGGGGAGCATCTTCTTGTCTGCAGGTGAGTCCTAGAGAGCATGCCTGGGGTAATCCTGGATTGGGGGGCGGGGTGTGTGAGGGTGTCCCTAAATTAGCTACGATGAAAGAATTGGGAACAGAGGGCTATAATATTGGAGGGGCCAGGATTTGGGGTGTAGAGGACAGCTGTAGGTGCTGGGTCAGGGGGAAGGGGAACTCTGGCTGGTGGGTATAGTGCTGGGACAGGAAGGGCATGCAGGTGTGGTCACTCATGGCCTCCCTGTTTCCAGCGTTCCAGTTCTCCTACACAGCTGTCTTTGGTGCCTACACTGCTTTCCTCTTCATCCGTACAGGTTGGTCCCCAGTCCCTCACGATGCCCAGGTGTTCAAGGGCCCACAGGAGTAGGTGGGAGAATGGGAAAACTGTGTTTATGAGCAATTTTTTTTTTTTAACCATAGTTCTTGAGACAGGCTAAGGCAGGGCCCTCAGCCTGGTGAGGTTTGAGAGGTGGAAGCAAGCAGAGGCCATGGTGTGTGGGTGGACAGGTGGGACTGATCTCCTGTTCCAGGGGATGAGGTAATTACCCGAAGAGGTGGTGGGTCTACTCTAGAGCTGTTCTGTCTCCCTTTCCCAGGACACCTGATTGGGCCAGTTCTCTGCCACTCCTTCTGCAATTACATGGGCTTCCCTGCTGTATGTGCAGCCCTGGAGCATCCACAGAGGCGGCCCCTGCTGGCAGGCTATGCCCTGGGTGTAGGACTCTTCCTGCTTCTACTTCAGCCCCTTACGGACCCGAAGCTCTACGGCAGTCTTCCCCTTTGTGTGCTTTTGGAGCAAGCAGGGGACTCAGAGGCTCCCCTGTGCTCCTGACCCATGCTCCTGTACACCTATGAACTCTCATGGGCTCCTCAGCCCCTCCCCATCAAGGGGTACTGCAGGGGAGGAGCTGGCTGGGGTCCCGAGATCTCAGGAATTTTTGTAGGGGATTGAAGCCAGAGCTAGTTAAATCCCAGGGACCAAGAGAAAGGAGCAGATAGCCAAAGGGTGCAGCCCCTCTTGAAAGGGGAGAAGCAGGCCCCAGGAGCTGTGCACTCCCTCCCTCACTGTGGACTGCTGCTTCTCAGCTCCTCTGTCCCTGAAAAGCTGCTGAGGGATAGAATTTACAGAAACCCCTCTCCCCCCAACTTCCCAGGGTTTTCTCACTGTCTTTTTGCATCAGGACTTTGTATTGGGATATTAAAGAGATTTAACTTGGGTAACATGGCCTTGGACCTTTGGGAATTAGTCTGTTTGGAGTCTTGGGAGTATGCCTGGTAGGGACAGTTCCCTGCAGTAGGGGGACAGGATGGGGACCTCTGTCTGACTTGGGTCTCGTAGCTTCCTTCTTACTGAGCGAGGCTCCAAGTCTTAGCAGAGGTGGATCTGGGACTGTAGGTACCAGGTGTGGGCCTACTCACTTTAGGGCCTGTGACTTAGCCACCAGGAAGTGGAACCCAGCACCCTGACCCCAGTGATAGAGCCTCCAACTTGTGTCTCCTGAGCGGGGGGAGTGTCGCCTCCACCAGGATCTCCCCAAAGTCTACCAGCCTCGAATTATGTAAGAGCAACTAGACCCAAAACGTTAGAAGAACCAGTTCAGATTACATGGAAGTAGAGGCTGTTCTAGTTGTCTCCATCTTGGATCTCTGCCACCATGCTGCTTGTCTGTCCCTGGAGGAACCCGGAACAAAGGCCTTGAAGAGAGCGCTGTAACTCAAGGTTCTTAGAACCTGCTCTTCCTCTTATTTTTAGAATGGTTTTCAGGTCCCATTCCAGACTCTAGGAGGGTGTTCTGAGTCCCATTCTCTGAGGCTGGTGGTGGAAGGAAAGGAAACGGGTGTGCAGTCACTACTCATGGCGCCCTCAGGCTGGCTGTGGCTGTCACACACCTACCTTGTGGAGAGCTCTGAGCAGCAGCTGTTGGAGGCAGAAGGGGTGAGCATAGACCTGTTCAGAGGGTACCTTTGGGATCTTGGAGACCAAAGAGGAGGAAGCCCAGGCCCACGCCAAAGATTAGGTTATAATACCCTGGGAGCACTGAGCTGGCAGGGTGCTAGGATGGATCCCTGGGAATCAGGGTATCTAGGCTCTGCCCCTCCTCTTCCTCTTATTCCTTCTCAGGAACTGTCTCCCCACCCCCACCATCCTCACCTCCCTATGCAGTGGCAGCAGTACAGTGGTGCAGGCAGGGTTACTGTTTCACCCTGCTGGTGGGGAACGGACTCAGGATAGGATTCTCCTGAGAGCTAATAATGGGGGATGGGCTGGATTAGATCCCAAGAATCTCCATCGAGTGCTCCCAGCCTCCCACCAAAATTCTCATACCTGGAGGTTCCTATACTGAGGGTCTCGCCTGCTTCCCAGAACTGGTGCCTGTTTGCATCCAGTCTTAAAAGAATGGGGTGCGAGGTTGGCCCAGGGTTTAGAATGTAAAGCAGTTGGTTGGGAAGCAAGTTTACTGGCAGCCTAGGTTTGAACCCTCTGCCTCTTACTAGCTGTGGGGTCCTTCCTATGACTCCATCTGTGTCCATAAAACGGGGAAAGGTTGATTGCCTGAGCCACTTCCTCCACCCACCCAAGCTCTCAGTAATTTTGGGGTGTGTATACAGTAGGTACTCAGTAGTAGCTTAAATCAAGGCCACTACTGCTATCCTCACTACCCTCCAAGGAAGAAGATACAGCTTGCCTGGGGAGTCAAAGGGGCAGCTCTGCCCTCTGTGAATGGCATGTGGGGTGGGCTGCAAAGGACCCACGATGGAGGGCAGGTGAAAGTCAGTTTTATTGAGCAAAGTTCTCAAGACCTGGGGCCCAGGTTCCTAACCCCCTTTCCAAGGTAGGACCCCCCAAATCTG